TCCCAGCCTGCACCCCTCCTGCCCCGGGGCCCGAGGGCGGGGCTCTGCGGGCTCAGTGTCCGCTCCCCGCCCGCCCCAGTGGTGGAAGAACTGCAGGTCCAGATCCTGAAGCTGCTGCTGAACAATAAGGATGAGAATGGGGTGAGTCCAGGCGCCTGTGAGGGTCCCTGGCCCAGCGGGCGGGGCGAACCCAGCTCCCAGCACGGGCTAGTCCGGCCTGGAGCAGCATCCTCAGCTCATCACAGCTTCATCTCCCGCCCCCGAAGGGCGAAGCTTCTAGGTACATCTTCCTGACCAAGTTCCGGAAGTTCCTGCAGGAGAATGCCAGCGGCCGGGGGGTAGGTGTCCGCCAGGCGGGCAGCCCACCGTGGCCCTGGCTGGGTTGCAGGCTCTGCCCCTGGGCTTCTGCCCCTTCTCCGCCTCCTTTTTCCCACTGAGCCCTGGTCCTCTGCCCTCTGCCCAGCGAGGACCCTGGGAAAGCTTCGGATGAGGCGTGGGCTGGGCTCTGGGCTAGAGCAGCGGCATGTCTGTGCCCTGTGCCCACAGAACATACCCCTGCTCTGCCCCCCTGAGTACATGGTCTGCTTCTTGCACCGGCTGATCTCCGCCCTGCGCGGCTACTGGGATGAGTACAAGGCTTCCAACCCCCACGCCTCCGTCAGCGAGGGTGAGTGGGCCAGGCCCGGCTTCGAGGCCGGCAGGGCCAGCCAGCCCTGGGGTGGTCTGCAGTCCTGGGCCGGGGCTCCTTGGGCTCCGAGGTGCTGGGCCCTGTGTTTGTGAGGGACACAGCCCTTAGGGGTCGGGGGAAGCTTTAGGCGCCCTGCACTGGGGGAGACCCCGCGGGGGCCAGGCTCTCATTTTCCCCTGAGCGCCCCCTTCACCCCAGTTTGTGCCGTTGCTGGCACTGACCTGGGATGGGGCAGGGTGGAGGTAGCCGAGGCCACACTGTGCGCCTGGGGGGTTGGTACCACCCAGGGGTCCCCTCTGTGCGAGGCCAGAGTGGAGGGGGCAGCCTCGGGGAGGGTCCCTGCGGGTCTGACTGCCGGCCCGGCCGCCGGCTTCGCGCAGAGGCCTACGTCCCGCCCCAGGTCTTCTACAACGGCAAGGTGGACTACTTCGACCAGCAGCGCCTCGGCGGCCTCCTCTCTCACCTCCGCAAGACCCTCAAAGGTGCGTGCGGCCGGTGGGGACAGGTCGGGCTGGGTGGACAGGGAGCCGGCTCTGCGGTGCGTGCCGAGCTACCTGTGTCCACTAGAGGGCGCCCGAGCACCGGCCTGCGGGCGGGAGAGGCGGCTCTGCCCACTGGCCTCTTGTCTTGGGTCCAGCTGTCCCTTCCCTGGAGCACCCCCACCCCCACCCCGGGGGGGCCTCTGGGAGCCCTGCAGTGAGGCGGGCACGTGTGCTGACAGAGTGGGGACCCTGGGCTCTGGGCGAGGTGCCGGGGCTGGAGTTGCTGCCTGAGCTGTTTTGAGGGGTGAGCACGAGAGGCTGCAGGGCCAGGGCTGAGAGCACAGTGCAGGCCACGCAGGGGGGCCAGAGCAGACGGCCCAGGCGCAGGGGACGCAGCGGGGTGCCCCGAGAGGAAGAGCGAAGCCGGGGGCCGGGAAATGAGGCCGGGGTGCAAGGGCAGAGCCTCCGACAGGGACTGTAAGCTCGTTGCCGGCAGCGGGGAGGTCGGGCTGCGGCTGTGCTTCGAGGGGGGTGAGGGCCAGGAAAGGGGACGGGTGGCCGGACTGGGCTGAGAGCCCTGCCGTTCCTCCCAGATGACCTGGCGTCCAAGGCCAACATCCTGATCGACCCCCTGGAGCTGCAGGCGGCCACCATGGACGACCTGGACGAGGAC